CACACACACACACACACACACACACACACACACACACACACACACAGAGCGATGGCTGCGAGCTGAGTGAATGAGGTAATGCTGATGCGTACGAAGGCACATAAAAAGCCAAGTGACATACAGCTCAGCTCAGCCATGATTGCTTCACAAGGACTCCTCTGCGGGTAAATCACCAATGGGGAGGTTGAAACTGAAATATACATATATATATATATATATAATGTATATAAAAACCAGTCCTAGTCTATATTTAGACTGTGGAGAGTCTGAAAGCTGCTGCTGCGAGCTGCGGCGCATCTCTTTTTGTTGCAGCTGAATGATGCAGAAGCCTTGAAGCACAGGAGTCTGAATGAATCCTGGTTAATGTGGTTTATCATCGAAGGTGACGGAGCTCAGCCTGCAGACGAGTTTACGTAAAAAAAAATAATAATAAAAATCACCTGACAGAGGCCTGGTTTAAAATAATATGTCAGAAGTGAGAGCGTCCAGCAGATGATGATGGTCGTACTGGTGTGTTTTGAGCAAACCGATCCTGTCTCCTCACGTGTCCTGATGCATTCCTGTTTCCTTTGCTCGTCTCCAGGGGGATATGACAAATTTTTCATGGAGTATACCGAGTTCTGCTTAAAGACCAAATCCATACCGTCCCTCAGCAGCCAGTCCAGCGTGGACTCTTCGTGCTCGTCGTGCGGAACGCCGCACAACGACCAGGTAACGTAAAACAACACAAAAATGCTGTCATTCGCAACACTTATTCTGACTGTYTTGTTTTTAAAGGTTTGATTAAAAAGTCCGGAACTGGTTTGTTGTCGTCATGAAAAGATCTCAGTCTAAAAGCAGCKGTGTGAGCGGAGGTGGGCGACGCGCATTCCTTCAAGTAATACGAGGCCTTTTGTTTTTTAGTCTGGAGGCCACCTTGGATTGAACACAGAGCTACTGTTGAGTGAAATCAGTCACTCACTGAGGTTTTTTTCCCCCCGAAGCATCGAACTGACTCTCGATCACTTCCTGTTGACTTGGCTGGCCTTGTTTTTCAGCAGTCTGTTGTTTGAGCCTGCAGACTTTATGCAACACTCAGTCACATGTGGCCTAACTCCACTGGAAATCACGAGGGCAAAAACGCAGAAAGCCCAGTCTGTGTGTGTATGTGTGTATGTGTGTGTGTGTATGTGTGTGTGTTCTCCTAGGAAAAAACAAAAAGCTTCATTGTTTTCCTGCTGAAGCATTTTCAGGTGCATTTCTCATTTGTGGAAGCATGAATGTGTTTCGACTCCCGCATCCAATTCCACCTCTCTTAGTGGTATTGAGCACTTCCTGCCTCGGAGTTCGTCAGCGCCGATGACATAAACAGARGGCGCTTTTTTTGTCAATAAGTCGAACCGAGCTGTCGGTATGGACCAGCTGACCCCTCGGTTCCATTAAAAAGGCTTCATTTCACCGTGTGTGAGTTCTGATATTGAATTGAGGTTCAAAGTTCAAACTCAAAGGGGTGGACGCAGCCGTGATGCCTCCTGAATTTTCCGTTCATCAACCGAACTACAACCTAATTCTGAACACGTCTGTTCTAATARATATTCTAATATTTAAGGATTGCAGTTATTGTTTTTCTGCTGAAATACAAGGCCTTACCTGAAAAAAGATGACATCTGCATGGATGCTGTTCAAATACTGCACCCCCATACCATCAGAGAGGCAGGATTCTAGTACGGAGGAAGTGGCGTTCGTTGTTTCCAACAATAATTTCAAAAAAATAGATTTGTTTTTTGCTTTGTCTTAGTCGGTTTGTCTGTTTAAAAAAAGTTTTTAAATTGAGTGTCAACAGTCTTGATAATAAATCTCCTAAATTGATCATAATTTGAACCCAAATCGGAGCAAACACACTTCCAGATTTTTCTGTTGCTGCAGATGCTTCTTTCCTCCAGGACYTTTCATGAATATTCATCACCTTAGTTCTGCTGCTTGCTTCTATGCTCCACAATTATTTATTTATTTTTTTAATTTTCCCTTTGCACAAACACTAGCTGCTCAGTGGAACTGACGTTCAGAGGAAATCCTAATTTCTTCTTAATTTTCAGGTGATTTTTTTGTTGGTTTTCGTCTCTTAAATGCGAGCGTGTTCCAGCTCGAGACAGAAACCAAACCAAACGGTCCAGTTGGGATGAAGCTGGTTAATCACAGATAAGAAGCTGTTCCTGCCTGATAAGAGGCATCGCTAATGCTATTAACAAAATGTTCAGCCGGGGTCATAAAGTCATCTGTGACTGGGCTTCCGCCTCTCAGCGAGACAGAGAAGCCTGTGTTTTCCCCTTTGCATTCACCCTAACAAGGAATGTCCAGCGTGCCTGGTTGGAGACACGCTTCTTTTCTGAAAAAAAAAAAAAAAAAAAAAAACCTCACTGAAACCTAATTAATTAAGAACGGATTGGAAACATGTGTCCAGGGTGGCCCGGTGGAGATCCTCCCGTTCCTCTACCTCGGCAGCGCCCTCCACGCCTCCAAAAGAGAGGTCCTGGACGCCATCGGGATCTCTGCCTTGCTGAACGTGTCGGCCGACTGTCCCAACCACTTCGAGGGCTCCTACCAGTACAAGTGCATCCCYGTGGAGGACAACCACAAGGAGGACATCAGCTGCTGGTTCCTGGAGGCCATCGAGTTCATAGGTCAGTGTCTCAGATTTGATCCGTGTGTCTGTTTTTTTTTTTTTAACGAGAACCACTCGACAAATCTGCCCTCCTTCAAGGATGCTTGGCCTTTAACTTGGTGTGGCAGGTGTTTGTTTTACGCTTTTATTTTGGCGGCAGACCTCATTACTTATACATTTATGGAGTATTTCTCCTGCAGACCATCTGCTGATCAATTTGTTTGTCAGTCTGTCGCAAATTYGTGTTCACGAGCAATAAGCGAGTATGCTTAATGATTTCAGCGCAACATAAGTGTGTTATGTAGTCGAGTGTGTTTTGCTTTGCATATCCACACGGGTTATAGAGACTTTTGTGTGTGTGTAGGTGTGTGTGTATGTGTGGGTGTGTGTGTGTGTGTGTGTGTG